GACCGAGCTCATGCTGCCAGTCCCACTGTCTCTCGTCTCCTCGCCACTGCTGTCACTGACCCTTCCTTTGAGTCTGCTGCAGCGTCTGCCCTCGTTGCTGAGCTGCTTGACTTTGCTGCTGCCTGCCGTCTAGACTACACCACTGCTCTTGTTGCGGAGTCTGCGTCTGCCAGTCCACCGTCCGTCGGGGGTGAGTGTGCTCTTGGCACGGACGTCCTTGAGGACAGGCAGGAGGACTTTGAGTGTCTTGCAGCTGCTGTACCTCGTTTCACTTCCATGCTGCTTGCCCCTGAGGGAGACCCGGATGCACCAGACCTCGCGTACCCTCTCAGCCTTCTGGCTCGCTACGTGGCTCCCGGTAGGCACCGAAAGGTGCACTGCGATGCTGCAAAGAGGGTACTGCGTTACCTGTGTAGTACGTCGGGCATGGGGCTTGTGCTTGGAGGACAGGGTCCAGTTGTTCTCATTGGTCACGCAGACGCCTCCTGGGTTGACGACTCAGCTACGCAGCGGTCGTCACAGGGTTACACCTTCAGCCTTGGTTCCGGCTCTGTTTCTTGGCGTTCTACCCGCTCGTCTTCGGTTCTCAGCTCCAGTTGTGAGGCTGAGATCTACGCCGGGGTCATGGCTGCACAGGAGCTTCGCTGGCTCACCTACCTACTGACCGACTTGGGAGAGAAGCCTCGTTCGCCTCCAGTTCTGTACGTAGACAACAAGGCCATGATTGCCTTGTGTCAGGAGCACAGACTGGAGCACAGAACGAAGCAAATCGCTCTGCGATACTTCCTTGCTCGAGAGTTGCAGCAGCGTGGCCAGCTTCGTCTTGCGTACGTGGTCACTCGGGCCAACACTGCTGATGTATTCACCAAGGCACTTCTGCTTGGTGATCATCAGTGCTTCTCTACTGTGTTAGGCCTTGTGCCTACTTTGCCTCACTTGCTTACTGCTTGACTCTGCTTGTACTGTGATCTATATATATACCTGCAAGCTTGCACTTGCTAGGGTATGATCACTGTATTGTTTGTTCTCTTTATATAACTCTGCATGTGAACTGGCCTTGTGGCCCTTTGCTTGTGCTCGGACTGTGTGGTGACTTTGTGATCCACCCTAAGCTTGCTTTGCCTTTTTGGACTGGTCTTGTGACCACTTGTTCTCCCCCACTTTTCCTATGGGGGTGTGCCAGAACATTATAGCTTATACATTTGTATAGGCTGTAGTGGGGTAGCCCACAAGGGGTACAACCCAATTAGGGTTAGTACCCAACTGTTTCATAGTTCATTCATTCTCGTTTGTAACTTTGACATACATATTTCTTCAAACTCGAAACCTGAAGTGCAAATGTCGTAAGCACCATTGGCGACGTTGTCGTGACTTGCCAAGAGCTACCGGGCAGTGGCAAAAAAGCATTCGCTTCTCCCTCCCAACTGTTGCAAACTTTCACTGTTGCTATTGTTGGTACTGTCAGAATGTTATATTGCTTACTTTATGTAGGCTATAGTGGGGTAGCCCATAAGGGGTACAACCCAATTAGGGTTAGTACTTGTACCCAACTCCTTCATAGTTCATTCATTCTCGTTCATTCTTCTGACATTGTTTCAGAGCAGGTCCTTCGCTAGGACCGATTTTTTAGGGCCCACCACATAGCTGCCCCACTAGCTGCCCTGCCCTACCAGCGCGCCGCCCTGCTGGCTCACGCGGCGCCCTTTGCAGCCCTCGTGCCGCACCTGCTGCCCCGCGCGCCGCCCCTTTGCGGCCCGCCCGTAGCCCCTACATCACAAAAACCCTATGCCAAGTTTGGACGAATTTTGATTTCGATTGTCTTCGCGTAAAATAATCCGGATTCAAGTTGGACCGACGGTTGGAGTCATTTGATAGGAGCTCTGAGACACATCTCGCGACAAGGTTTGGCTCAGTTCAAGTTCCAATTTGGCACGCGTGCTTGTCCGGATGACATTCGGGCGCAATCCATTTTGGTGCAAATCCGTGACCAAATTATTCAAAACTAAATTCTGTTTTTGTTCATTTTGGATATTGAGGATTTCAAATTTGCATTTATTATTGCTGTTTACAACAACCATTATTCAGCATTTTAGCAACAAGCAGTCTTAGCACCAGGTCAAATAGCCTACGCACTGCGGGCCTTGAAAGCGCCCGTTGGGCAAGGACGACATCTCCAAGGTCGCCATCGTCGATGAGGAACTTATTCGGAAAGACGAACGCACCCATAGCCGGATCGTGGGGGATCCTCCGCTCCACGACAGCAAAGTGGATCTTATGTTTGACCTTTTTGCACCACTCCTGGTAGTCTGGCCTGTTCTGTTCCGACTGGCTACTGATTCGCTTGCGACGCTTATCCTGCAGAAGGGGCCATTTGATCTGCAATGTGGTGTAGGGTTGGGTGGATGGTTTATGAGGAGGGTGGGTTACGGGTAAATGAGCCAACCGAAAGCGGTGATTCAGTCGTCACTATCTACGTAACTCTAAAGGCTTAATCGACCAGGGATTTAGCTGAAGTACAGGCAAGGGATGAAGGGGATGAGGCATGGGGGTACAAACACATATCTACATCTTTACCGAAAACAGGCCCCATGCCACCATGCGGCTCTTGAACTTGGTGAACACCGCCCCGCCCCTCTTGAAGGAGAGCTTGAACGCATAAGCGAACAAGGGGTTGCTGAAGGGCGTCCCGGTGGCCTTGTCAAAGTGCCAATTGAGGGCCCAATGTTCTGCATTTTGGCAGGGAGGGTATGGGTTGGAAAGGGTTTTGTAGAGAAATCAAGTGGGGGGATGAGAGTCAGGGTGAGCCACATCGCACGGTGATATGTAGCTGCCAACTGGCATATGGTGTTTTCCAGTTGCATATACCATCTCTGTACTTGGCTAGGAGATGATCGTTGTTGAACCAGGTCGTTGGGCGTAGCTCAGTGGGCAAGCTTTCCACGAGATGGCTGTAATCGGCAAGGCCCATGCCGGTGTATGCTGCTGGCCTGAGGGTGGAGTTGATAGTTGACCTTGTTGAGGACAGCTGGTGGTTGAAGACTCCCATGGTTGACTTGTCATTGTGCAACCACAGCAGCTTCATTGCCTCGAGCCCTTCTGCAGACAAGTGGACAGAGAATGCGTCGAACACTTCCTCCGTTGCAGGGTAGTACTGTATTTTCTCCGGCGGGTTCAGAAACATGAGCAGGGAGCACACTAAGTAGGCTTTGTTCTGCACAGGGGTGTAGGGTATACAACACGACATGGGAGAGAGAAACCAGCAGTTATGAGGGTGGCCGCGTGACCAGGGGATGGTGACTAGCAACAGTGTGTGAACTTGCCACGTCACACCCTGCGCCATCCGCCACGTCCACCAACAACCCACCCCACTTGCTACATCACACCCCCCTACCACAAGCCACGTCACCCCCCACCCACCTGACATGCCTCGCTTTGTCATGCGCCGCTCACGTGTACCCTTTCAAACCGCCACGTCATCCCCAACCCTCACCTTCCGCCACGTCACACCCTCCTGCATCCGCCACGTCCACCAACAACCCGCCCCACTTGCCATGTCACACCCCCCTACCACAAGCCACGTCACCCCCCACCCACCTGACACACCTCGCTTCGTCATGCGCCGCTCACGTGTACCCTTTCAAACCGCCACGTCATCCCCAACCCTCACCTTCCGCCACGTCACACCCTCCTGCATCCGCCACGTCCACCAACAACCCACCCCACTTGCCACATCACACCCCCCCACCCCAAGCCACGTCATCCCCAACCCTCACCTTCAATGCCTCGTCTCGTCATGCGCCACTTCCTTGTACCCATCCCAACCGCCATGTCATCCCCAACCCGCACCTTCCGCCACGTCACACCCTCCTGCATCCGCCACGTCATCCCCAACCCGCACCTTCCGCCACGTCACACCCTCCTGCATCCGCCACGCCATCCCCAACCCTCACCTTCCGCCACGTCACACCCTCCTGCATCCACCACGTCCACCAACAACCCACCCCACTTGCCACATCACACCCCCCCACCCCAAGCCACGTCATCCCCAACCCTCACCTTAAATGCCTCATCTCGTCATGCGCCGCTCCCTTGTACCCATCCCAACCGCCACGTCATCCCCAACCCGCACCTTCTGCCACGTCACACCCTCCTGCATCCGCCACATCATCCCAAACCCTCACCTTCCGCCACGTCACCCTCCCCCACCCCAAGCCACGTCACCCCCCACCCACCTAACACGCCTCGCCTCGTCATGCGCCGCTCCCTTATACCCTCCAAAACCGCCACGTCATCCCCAACCCCGCCCTGGTTGCCACATCAACCCCAACCCGCCCCATTTGGCCCGCCACATACCGGGAATGGGTTTGTCTCCTGCAACACTAGCACTCGTGCCTTGTCCACGGCACTCATCGGCGGCGGGGTACCTTTCATAGGCACCACTGCGGACCCCCCGGCATAATTGGCAGGTGCTCCACGATGCAGGCCGAGCTGAGCAAACATGGCGTACATCTCAGACCGTAGCGCCTGGAACTCCTCCCGTGTAACAAACTACTCGTGCTCCGCACTTTCACCTAGGGCACCCAAGAGCGGGGGAAAAGGGTGTGAAGAATCCCCCTTCTGGCCAAGGGGATCAACGTCTTCTGCAGCAGTCCCGTGTGCCCTCACACTATCACGCTGGCGGGAAAAGGGCAGCTCAGGGAAGGGATTGGCAGAAGTGCTTGGCCCTTGCCCGCGCAAAGGACCGGCGAGGGGGGAGACGGCCCTGCCCCAGACAGGAGAAGCGTGGAGCTGCCGATATGGGTATGAGGGTGAGGCGAGTGGGGAGTGCGTGACGTGGCCTGGTAGAGGGGATTCGGATTCCTCTCCTCTTGGTGCGCCGGGTGCCCTAGCAGCGACTTTAGACGGGCCGGAGTATGGTGTGTAGAACCTTGGGGCTCCTGTGGATAGCGGGGTAACACTCGCTCTTCCGGCCCCCTTCGTTAGCTGCATCCGTTGCACGCTTATCGGTGGCCCAATGCCTGTAACACGAGGGGCTGAGATTTATAGGGAGCAGGAGCACAAAATTAGAGTCGATTAGTTTCAATACAGGGGCACACATGCTTGAATACGATCAGCGGCTTGAATCTAAATCGGGTTATAATGGGTACTGTTTTGTAACAAGAGGCCTTACCTTGCTTTGCAGATTCGTCGACCTTCTCCTTCCCTGCAGGGGAGAAACAATGTGAAGAAATGTGTTAATTGGCACGGTTGAGCAGAGAGTTCAGCAGCCACGCCATGTGTATGGGCCACAGTGCTTACCTTTCAGCTGTCCCTTCGGTTTTTTTGCTGCCTGCGCCTTCTCGTTGCCACCTTTCCGCGGGGTGCTTTGGCGGCCGCTGCGACGTTTACCGGCTGGTCCTTTCTTGGCGCGGCTGCCCTTTCCTTCACCATCCCCTTTTGATCCCTGGCTCCCTTGATTTTTACCAACCCCTTCGCTTTCGACCTTCACTTCATGCGTCTTCGGTTTGCCCGCTGCTTCGCCACGCGGGGCGTCACCCGCCCCGCGTTTTCGGGAATGGCGAGTCCGGCCCCCCACCTTCCCTGTACCACTCCCCTGTCTGCCTCGCCCGCCCCGTCCTTTCACTGCCGCCATATCCTCCTCCTCCTCCTCCTCCTCCTCCTCCTCCTCCTCCTCCTCCTCTTCCTCCTCCTCCTCCTCCTCCTCTTCCTCCTCCTCCTCCTCCTCCTCCTCCTCCTCCTCCTCCTCCTCATCCTCGTCGTCCCTCTCCTCCTCCTCCTCCTCCTCCTCCTCCTCCTCCTCCTCCTCCTCCTCCTCCTCCTCCTCCTCCTCCTCATCGTCCTCCTCCTCCTCCTCCTCCTCCTCTTCGTCCTCCTCGTCATCATTCTCATCTTTTTCTTCCTCCCCAACATCCGCGTCCTCCTCCTCCGCATCCTCTTCATCCTCCTCTTCATCCGCATCCTCCTCCTCATCAGCCTTCTCCTCCTCATCCCCCGCATCCCCCTCATCCTCCTCCTACGCATCATCAGGGTCTTCTTCGCCCCATTTCTGCCTCTTCCCCCTCGCTTCTTTCTTGCCCCTCCTTCCGCCGGATGTTCTCCTCGCTGCGGGTCGGCCCTTCTTGCGCAATAAATGACCCGTCGCCTTGCCACTTGCTTCCCTGGCGCCTCGCGTTGTCCCAACTTCCGCACCACCGGCGTCGTCAGCACCGCCTGTTGTCTGTCGCCTCTTCGACCGCGTATTGATGTCCCCGGGCACGGCGGTGTCATACTCTTCTTCCCCATCGCTCTTCCTCTGCCTATGCCTCCCACGTCCACTAGAAGGAGGAGAGCCACCTACGTCAGCGATGCTGTGTTGGAGATCCTCCATCGAATCGTGCTCCCCCGCCTTGGCCTTATCCACCACGGCAGCAGAAATTTCGACCACAGTCGGCTGGAGCAGCGTCAGTCCATGTTGGGATGCCCCTGCCTCGGACTCCTGGGTTGCGGCATGCTCGGCGCGGGAAGCGTCGCCATGGTTCCCCCCTGTCACCGACCCCTCTCTCTCCGCTGACGGGACTGCAAGACTCACGCTCCCTCGCCCCGGATCTTCTTTGCCGCCGATGGTGCCGTCGTTAGTCAGTGATAAAATAGGAGCTTAGGCTAAGAAGCCATAGCTAGGTTTTAGGGTATATGAAAGAGAAATGGGAGAAGAGGGCTTCACTAGCAGCAATGAGGATACATATAGCAAACCCTAGATGGGTTGTACTCGCTATAGAGCACCCCACTACAGGCTAGAGAATAACATTCTGACACACCCCCATAGCCAAAGTGGGGTGTAATCAGTACAATGAGCAAGCAGGTATAGAGCAGGAGTTCACAAAGGTAAGCAAAGCTAGAGCTAATCACAGAGGGCAAGTGAGGAGGAGGAGAGACTGTGGAGGGAGAGAAGATGGGAGGCAACGACTGAAGCTGCAGAGGCACGGGCACAGGAGCGGCTGACTCAGAGGCTACCGAAGCAAGGGCGACGGACTACTGGAGTGACTGGCTCCGCGGCTATAGACGAGCGGCAGGAGCAACGGACCCACTGGCGACTGGTGCAACAGGCTCACTGGCTACCGAAGCAAGGGCGACGGACTACAGGCGCTGCAGGCGACAAGACAGCTACCTTCACACAACCTCCTCCAACTGCCCCACTCCCCTCTCACACACCCCCTATTCATGTTGGAGTAGGCTAGAGCTCGCTCTGGTCTTTATTTTGGTGTTCTTATATTATTTCTCCATGCTTAGAGAGCGTTACGCATTCAGGTTCATTTTAGGTTCATTTTGTAGCTTTTAGTACAAACCGAACACACCCTAGGTTCAATTAGGGTTTCCAACCATCTCTCTTTTGTACCTCGACATTTCTCTTCCTAGTTCAACTTTTCGACCCTACCTAACTCTCTCGCCATCCATGGCTCCTCTCATCTTAACATGGTATTCAGAGCGTAGTCCTAGGCGTTTCATATTCATCCGCATTTCTTAGATAATCTCCGGCCCTTAGGCCGTATTCCGCGCTACTTAGCTATACGATTTTTTTTTTTTTTCCCTTTCCTCTCGTTTCTTTCCCGTCACTCTTAGCATCCGCGCGGTTCTCTTCGTTATACTCGCTCGGGTGCCCTAATCTAGTCCGAAGCGCGCCTCCCTACCGTTCAGATCATCCGTCCGCACCTTCCCTCTTCATCACGCTTCCTCCTCCTCACGTTTCGGACGGTAGCACGGCGATTTCCGCCTGTAGCGCGCTCAGCCGTCCCCTCCCCCCTCCCTGTCTCGTCGCGCGCGCATTGCGCTCCTGCCGCCGCGCACGCTAAGCACCGTCCAGCAGCGCGCGTGCCTGCCCTTCCTTGCGGTGCGCTCTGCCCTTCCTCAATCCGCCCCTTCCCTCACCCTCCTCCTCCTTCCCTCTCTCCTTTGTGCTTCCCCCAATACCTCACCTCTTCCTCCTATTTTCTCTCCCCATCTGCTGCGGCTCGTAGCTCCTTGTGGCGCGCCCTGCCCTTCCCACAATCCGCCCCTTCACCCTCCTCCTCCTCCCCTCTCTCCCACTAGTTCCCTCTCCACTATCTCACCCCTCCTCCACCTCTTTTCTCTCTTCATCTGCTGCAGCTTGTAGCTGATTGTGTTGTGTAGCTGTTGTTCCTCCACACCTTCCCTCCTCCTCAACATCCTCCTCTCAACTGCTCAACTGCACACTCTTCCCAATTCTCCCTCCTCCTCTTGTTTCTCCCTTCAGCGGCACAGCAGCAGACTTCTCCGCCGCTATCCCTCCTCCTCTGGTTTCTCCCCTCATCGGCGCAGCAGCAGACTACTTCGCCATTTTCCCTCCTCCTCTGGTTTCTCCCCTCATCGGCGCAGCAGCAGACTACTTCGCCATTTTCCCTCCTCCTCTGGTTTCTCCCCTCATCGGCGCAGCAGCAGACTACTTCGCCATTTTCCCTCCTCCTCTGGTTTCTCCCCGCATCGGCTCGACAGCAGACTACTCCGCCACTTTCCCTCCTCCTCTTGTTTCTCCCCTCAGCGGCTCAGCAGCAGACTACCCCGCCCTTATTCCTCCGCCTCTTATACCTCTCCCCACATCTGCTCTGCAGCTGTTTCCTCCTCCTCATGGCGACCTCTCTCGCCCTCCCCTCCCTCCCTCTGCTGGTCCTTCAGCTTGCGCCCGATGGCAGTGCAGTCAACTTCCCTAGTTGGCTGAACTGTCTTGAGCGCACGCTGTCTGGCACCCTCGTGAGTGGCTTTAACCTATGGTTTGTCACCCAGCAGAGTGGTTCTGGCGCCATTCCCACCTCTCCCTCTGGACCCACCTCTTCCTCTTCTGACCCCTATGCTGATGGCCTCCGTGCTGCCATTGCTGAAACTGAGCGGCTTGTGACCACGGCGCAAGCCACCGCCACGGCTGCTCCTGACAATGCTGATGCCCGTGACTTAGCTCGTATTCTTGCTGAGTCCCTCGAGAGCACCCGCAAGCGCCTCACTGAGCACCTCGCTACCCCTTCTCCTCGCTCTGCGTCTACGCCCATTTCCTCTGCTCCGTCTCACTCTGACCTTCTCGCTGACTGGCATGTTGCCAACGCACGTGCCTGTCAGGTCATCCTTGCCTGCCTCCCTCCAACTCTTCTCCCTCAGTGCTCGCACATCCGCTATGCCAAGGACCTTCTCGGCTATCTTACCGAGCGCTTCCAGTCGCAGACTCCTATCAGTGTCATTGCCCTCTTACGCGAGCTCACCTCTCTTCGTCTTGCTGACTTCACCACCATGGCGGACTACATCGCTCGTGTGCAGACGCTGTCCTCCCAACTTGCCTCTCAAAAGTTTGAACTTTCCGACCATGTGTGCGGTGCCCTCCTCCTCACAGGCCTCACTCCTGAATACAGTGTTCATGTCACTCTGTATGGTGAGCGCCCTGCCGACCAGTGGTCATTCTCTCGTGTCTCTGCCTTCCTCCTCCAGGCAGAGCTCAACCTCCGCAGCTGCCCTCCTACTGTCGCCGCTGTCACACCCGCTTCCGCCCCCCCCCCCCCTCTCCCCACCTCCACTGTCGCCGCTGCTTCCTCTCACCCTCGCAACACCTTTCCTCCTTGCACCTACATCATTCGCCAGGGGCCCCGCAAGGGTCAGCCCTGCGGTCGCACCAATCATCCCACCTCCTCCTGCTTCCAGAAGCTCACCGATGACTGGTTCCTGGCTGGCAACACTGGTCGCCCTCCCAATTGGCTTCAACTCTCTCGTCAGCGTCGCCAGTCTTCTGCTGAGGCGGTACTTGTGGCTGCCGACTCTGGTACCAGTGCTCAAACCTCTGCTCTCAGTGTGACTATGCCTAGTCAGGATAGCATTCTGGGGGCTTCTCCCCTTATGGACCCTCGTTTTGCCATGATGTTTGCTCCTTCTGTTAATGGCAATGATTCTCAGTATCTTCGTCCCACAGCTGCTGCTCTTTCTCTCCCTCACACTCTTGAGTTTGTTCTTGACAGTGGTGCCACTGACTCTGTTTTTTGTGACGCTGGTGTGCTTCACTCTTTTCCCCATCCCCTCTCCATTCAAGGAGCTGGGGATACCATGACCATGACTTGCACTGCTACCTCCTCTCTTCCCTGTCCTGCCTCCCCCTCTGGTGCTGTGACTGGCCTCTATGTCCCTTCCTGCCGCCACAACCTTCTCTCTCTCTCTGCTCTTCAACGTCTTTGTGTGCGAGCTATCTTTCCTGAATGTGACTCCTATTGTGATCTCTATCATCGCAACCGCCATCTTGCACGCTTTACTCTTTCCCCTATCACTCGCCTCTACACTCTTCGTGTCTCTCTCCCCCCTTCTGCCCATCATGCCTCTTCCGCTTCCGCCCCTCCCGTTCCTTCTTGCGACTGTCGTTCTCTCACTCAACCTACCCTTCTCCTCCATCATCGGCTTGGCCACCCCAATTTTCCCCTTCTTCGCAGTATGGTCTCCTCCAAGCTTCTTCATGGCCTCCCTTCCTCTCTCCCTCCCCTTCCTCCCTCTCCTGCTCCTCCATGCACCCCATGTGTCCAGGCCAAATTATCCCAGTCACCCCATCCCTCTTCTCCCTCTGCCTCTCCCCAACCCCTTGACCTTGTTCATATGGACCTCTAGGGTCCTTCACCTACTGCTTCTCGTCAGGGTCATCGCTACTTTCTGCTTTTGGTTGATGACCACTCACGATTTGCCACTGTCTATCCCCTCCGTGCCAAATCTGACGCTCCCTCCCTCATCATTCGCTGGGCTGAGCAGGCTCGTCTACGCTTTAAGCGTCCTGTCACGCGCTTCCACTCGGATGGTGGTGGCGAATTCTTTAATCATTCTCTCTCCTCTTACTGTGCCTCTCATGGCATTCGCCAGACCTCCACTCTTCCTCACTCACCAGAACAGAATGGGGTTGCCGAGCGTCGCAATCGCACCCTCATGGAAATCACTCGCTGCCTTCTCACCCATGCCTCTGCTCCCCACTCTCTTTGGAGCTATGCTCTCCTCCATGCCACTCTACTCTCTAACCTCCGCCCTCATCCTCTTCGCCCTACTACCACCCCCTTCCAGCTTTGGACTGGCCGCCAGCCCTCTGTTTGCCCTCTTCGGGTCTGGGGGTGTGTCGCCCATGTTCTTGTCAATCCAGCAGACCGGTCCCGTCAGGGTGGGAAGCTCGCTCCCAAGACGCAGCTCTGTGCATTCCTTGGCATCAACTCTGACTGTCCTGGCTATCTTTTCTATGCCCCTTCCTCTCACCAACTCATCCGCAGCCAGGACGTCATTTTCGATGAGACTCAATCCCCATTCCATTCCCCCCCACCCGCCCCTCCTGTCCCCTCTCTTCACTGGTCTGATTTCGATCAGCCGCCGTCTGTCCTTCCCTCCCCTCTCCCCCCCCCTCCTATCCCGCCCCTTCCCGCCCCTCCCTCTGCGCCAGCCTCTACTGCCCCCCCTTCCGACATCATCTCTGGCGCCTCCCCACCCGCCTCTTCCTCTTCGGCTCCCCTCCCTTCCTCACTTCCATCTTCCTCTCCACCTCCTTCGTCTGTTCCCATTCCCCCCCCTTCCCCACGCCTTACTCGCTCCATGACTCGCGCACTTTCTAATTTTCAGCACTCTGCTCTTTTCACTCGTCTTTCTCCATCTCAGAATGTTACTCTTCTTGAAGATCGCTTTGAGGAGCTCTTCAACATTCATCCTGTTTCTCCTCTCCTGTGTGTCACCGTTGGTGACTATAGCATTTCTCCCACTCTTCTCTCTGTCGACACCGCTGCCATCCCCACCCCTCAGTCCTACTCCGAGGCTGTGTCGGGCTTTCATGCCACTGAGTGGATGGCTGCCATCATTGCTGAGTGTGAGGCATTCACCAGAACTACTTCATACATTGACTCTGTTCCCCCCCCTGGCGCCACCATTGTCAAAGGCAAATGGGTCTTCCGTGTCAAGCAGCTGCCCGGCGAACTTCCTGTCTTCAAGGCCCGCTACTGTGCCAAGGGGTTCACTCAGCGTGAAGGCATTGATTACTTTGCCACTTACTCCCCCACAGCCCGTCTCCCCACCCTTCGCCTCCTTCTTGACTTAGGTGCTCGCTGGAATTGGGAGATCCATTCTATGGACGTTTCCAATGCTTTCCTCCAGGGCGAGCTGCATGAGCGCATATTCCTTGAGCGCCCCGCTGGCTTTCCTCGCCCTTTCCCTCCACGCACGGTTTGGGAATTGAAACGACCTGTGTATGGCCTTAAACAGGCCCCACGCGAGTGGCACGCCAAGCTCGCCTCCACCCTTCACTCTCTTGGCTTCTCTACCTCCACCTCCGACCCCAGTCTCTTCATTCGCACATCCCCCCACAGGCTTTACATCCTTGCCTATGTGGACGATTTGGTGTTGCTTGCTGAGGACTCCGCCGATCTTGCAACTGTCAAGAAGGCCCTGCAGGCGCGTCTCCTGTGCAAGGATCTTGGCGAGCTTCGTCACTACCTCGGCATGGAGATCCGTCGTGATCGTGCTGCCCGCACCATCTCTCTCTCCCAGTCTTTCTATATCCAGTCCATCCTCCAGCGGTTTGAGATGTCGCAGGCCAAGCCGGTCTCCACCCCTCTTCCCGCTAACCATCAACTCACTGCCCCTGCCGTCCCTGCTCCCTCCTCTGAGCTGCGGCCTTATCCTGAGCTCGTTGGATCTCTCATGTATGCTATGATGTGCACTCGCCCCGACCTTGCTTACCCCCTCAGTGTTCTCTCTCGCTTTGTTGGTCTAGGACGCCACACTGACGTGCACTGGGCGGCTGCTAAGCGCGTCCTGCGCTATCTGCGCGCCACCTCTGACCTTGCTCTCACTCTTGGTGGCTCTGTTCCTCCCGTTCTCTCCGGCTACAGTGACTCTTCCTATGCTGACTCCCGCCCTGATCGCCGCTCCTCTCAGGGCTATGGTTTCACTCTTGGCAGTGGTCTCATTAGCTGGCGCTCTACTCGCTCATCCTCTGTCTGTCTTTCCACCTGTGAGGCTGAGTTGTACGTAGGCACCTTGGCAGCTCAGGAGGCTCGCTGGCTCTCCTTTCTCCTTGCTGAGCTTGGTCACTCTCAGTCCTCTGTGACGCTCTCCTGTGAGAGTGCGAGCATGATTCATCTCACTGAAAATCCTGTCTATCACGCTCGCAGCAAGCATATCGAGGTCCGTTATTTCTTTGTGCGCGAGCTGGTGCAGTCTGGTTTCTTACGTCTGCGCAAGGTGGACGCTGCTGCCAACCTTGCTGACATTTTCACCAAGGCCCTCTTGCGTGCGCCTCACCGTTTCTACGTGCGCGAGCTTGGGCTCACGCGTCTCTCCACTTCTGGGGGTGTGCCGGTTCGCTAGGTGTTTTGCTCCAGAGCTTCACCTAGCCTGGGGGTGTGTTGGAGTAGGCTAGAGCTCGCTCTGGTCTTTATTTTGGTGTTCTTATATTATTTCTCCATGCTTAGAGAGCGTTACGCATTCAGGTTCATTTTAGGTTCATTTTGTAGCTTTTAGTACAAACCGAACACACCCTAGGTTCAATTAGGGTTTCCAACCATCTCTCTTTTGTACCTCGACATTTCTCTTCCTAGTTCAACTTTTCGACCCTACCTAACTCTCTCGCCATCCATGGCTCCTCTCATCTTAACAGTTCAAACCCTAGCTCCACTCCCACAGCACCCCCCTTAAACCCTAAACCCTAGGCTCCCACACACCCACCCCCCTCAGCGACAGCTGCAGCAGTGGGAGACAAGGGAGGAGGAGGAGCAAGGGGAGGAACACATAACCGCCACCCCCACACCCGCCACCCCCATGCTCGGCACCCCACACCCCCAGCACCACGGAATGCACGGGGGGGGGGGGGAGAACGGGATGGGCTGCAGGTGCGGGCTGCTCCAGGGGCGGCCGTTGCAGGTGCGGGCTGCTCCAGGGGCGGCTGCTGCAGTTGCGGGCTGCTCCAGGAGGGGGGGGGGGGGGGGTTGCTGCAGATGAAAGGTAGGAGGGAGGGGAGGGGAAGGGCGCGGCCACCAGGGCGCCCCGACGGGCGACGAGCTAGGGAGCCGCGCGGGCCCCCGAGAGCGCTTCGACGGGCGACGGGAGGGGACCGCGCGCGGGCCCCCAAAGCGCCGCGACGAGGCGACGGTTGGGGCCGGTGCGCGGCCCCCAAGGCGCCGCGACGAGGCGACGGGAGGGGCCGGCTCGCGGGTCCCCAAGGCGCCGCGATGAGGCGACGGGAGGGGCCGGCTCGCGGGCCCCCAAAGCGCCGCGACGAGGCGACGGGAGAGGCCAGCGTGCGGGCCCCCAAAACGCCGCGACGAGGCGACGGTTGGGGCCGGCGCGCGGGCCCCCAAGGCACCGCGACGAGGTGACGGGAGGGGCCGGCGCGCTGGCCCGCAGGGCACCGCACGAAGCAGGAACCCGCCGCGCGCCTCGGGACGCACGGCGGGCAGAAAACCGCCACGCGCCCGGAGCGCGTGGCGGGAAGAAAAATAGGAGGTCGCGCGCCACGGGGCGCGCGACACACAGTAGGGCAGCGGAAGCAGGTGGGCCCACAGGCCAGGAGCGTATCGCTCTGATAGCATGATAAAATAGGAGCTTAGGCTAAGAAGCCATAGCTAGGTTTTAGGGTATATGAAAGAGAAATGGGAGAAGAGGGCTTCACTAGCAACAATGAGGATACATATAGCAAACCCTAGATGGGTTGTACTCGCTATATAGCACCCCACTACAGGCTAGAGAATAACATTCTGACAGTCAGACCGGGATCGGTTCTACCAGAGGCAACATCCGCATCTTTTTTCACGGTAGAAACACGCTTACGTGGCGTTGGTTGCTTCCCCTTCTCTTCCGCCTTCTTGCCGGACTTCTCCTGTCCAAACGCAGCCTTTTTTCCCGCCAGTTTTTTCAGCCCTCTGCCACGCGCAGCGAACGCATTAGTACCTTTAGAGCCGCCACCACCCTCCCTATCGGTCTGTTGAGACAGCCTCCTTGTCGCACGACGTCCGGCCTGTTCCTCCTCCTTTTCTTTTTGCCGTGTTGCACGTGTCATGGTTGTATTACGAATGCGAATTTCTACAAGGCAGAACGGTGGAG